CAAACAAGATTACAATTGTTACTAAGGCACTAACTGAAAACATTTAAGCCAAAACGGAAACTTGCTAACATTTTGTTTTTAATGAAATTGCGATAGTTGCAAGCTGCATTCTGACTACACGGAAGGAACGTACTCAACACAAACAAAAAAGTACAAAAATCCAAAGGCTTACTTCAGTTTTCCGGCAAAGTAGAAACTTCCATTACAGCTGACTATAATGCCGTTAAGTTTAGCTAAATGAAAACGTGCATTTCAACTACTTTTTACCTAGCGTACGCTAGGAGAACACTACGTAAAAACTGTTGACTTTATTTAAAAGCCAAAAAAATTGTTTTTTAAGTCCTTCCACGAAGCGCCACTGTCGCATGTCCTTACAGCCAACCGAATTTACCTTTCATTGTTGACTTTTCGCAGTTGGTGTTGCTCTTGCTTACAGGCTCTGCGTATGTACGGAAGGCCTTAAGCACTTGCGGTACTCGTTCATTTAAAATGTAGATACTTTTGCAACATTTGTAGCTTCAATTGTGCTTGAAATACAAAAAGAAAATAATACAAACAACCGTCGGGTATATTTTGCAAGAGAAGAACTCCTAGTACTCCTAGGTACGAGGACATTGTAAGTAATCACAACAATAACAACTGCAATGAAAATAAATATTCTGTGGCTAGTAATCTGTATTATGCGGATCAGTTTGCCCTGCTTTAACTGCCACTTCGTACTGAAATACCTCATTTTTGGTTAGCAATTTTGGTTCATTTCTCTACTTGAATCCTGCATATATGAAACCATGTTAGGATGACCACTTAGCTATGATAATTAAAAATATCGTATTTTCTAAGTGCGATATATGATAATTATTTAACACATTGCCAACATTTTGCATTACTATAATTTAAAATTTACAAGATACAAACACTATGAATAAATGAACGCACCTTAACTGCAAAACTAACTTATAGCGATAGCTATTAGATGTTATTGTTTTTAAAATTTATTGGAATATATGATACCCCCAAGTGAGGGTAATTTATTAACATTGAAATATGTCATTCTTAAACAATCAATGAAAATTAAGAAGTTGCAGATAAAATTAGGTTATAATAATAAATATAATAGTTAAACTAATTTAGGTGATATAAAAAGTACTATCGTTTTTTTGTCACAAGATAATGTTGGTCCACATATATTTTGATACACTAGTCCGATTGTGTCAAACGAGCTAGTGCTTGAAATGTAACACTGCAGGCTATAATTTTTTTTATGCAGATTGCTATATTATTCGTTGCTCCTCTAAAAAGTCGTACTGATTTGATAAGGAGTGTAATAACTGAAAAAATATGCTTTAGTATTATAAAAAAAAGTAAAAGTGCGGATACTGTGAGTGAACGCCTTACCCAGGCCTGAACGGGTACGATCTAATGAATATATTATCAATATTGATTTTTAATAGCAAAGAAAATAGCTCCTTCCGCATGCAGATAATGCTATCTGGAAAAACTTTTTATCAATATAGAATTATCGGTTAAATATGATGGATTAACGATCAATGAACTCCAGTTCACATTGAAGAGCACCAAACCACCAGCAGAAGAGCACCAAACCGTAAGGTGCAAATAAATAAGTTCAGAGTAGTCGAAAAATGTGATAGAAGAAGTTCATGTTCATATTGAGTCTTTTTCAAGTTAATATATCTAAACACTTTTACTCTTTGATAGTTGGGGGGGCTTCTGCAGAGTCCCACCCTTTCTTAAAAGCTTCGTGATTTTTCGATAACTGATCTTAGATCTGCGTACCGCCCCGTGCGTCTAGAGATTATTCTCAGATTAGATAGTGCTATATAGGGTAGCCTGTCGGTATAAGCGCATAGCTTCAGGGCTCTGTCCCTTGTGTATTTCTTGAACGGGTCTATTCTAAGGTCTCAGTATGTTATTTGTGTGGATGTACCAAGGGACTTTGAAGAGTCTTCGAAGAGCCTGACTTTGACCAACTTGCAGCCTCTGGATAGTTATAATAAATAATGTAAAGTCATTGATGCCTCTCATATTTTAGGATTTTATCCAGTTTATTTTTTCAGTCAAGTCTCTTTTTAAAAAGATATAAATAGTTTTTTGACCCAATGGACTAGTTTATAATGTCACTAAATAATTCTCTGCTGTTTTTTAGCCTAATCTAAACTATTAAAAATCATAGTGATTTGAATAATTAATCTTATTAAAACGCATTCAAAGTATATATTAGATCATTATTTAGATAAAACGAATTTTGAGCATTATTTCATCACTATAACTCAGGTTGGGTACAACCAGTATGATTCATTATCAAAACTGAAAGCAAAAGAATAATATTAATCTGGTACTTTAACTCCGAAACAAGTTTGTGTGGAAAAAATCGACCAAGAAAATATTAACATTAGATTTTTGTATTAAAAAAGAAAGTTTGATTAGACGATATCCTTCGGAGTGCCACAGAAAAAAACTCAGGTAGTTACTGCAATCTTATGAATCAATTGATTCTGAATTGTAAATAAATTAATACAAGAATTTAAAAATTCTGGCAACTCTAAAATTAATGCTGAAAAAGTAGTTTTAGTTTCGAAAGAAATCAGTGAAGTTTAGTCAGGTACTTAGTTTAAATTTTGGAGATTATATAAAGTTACACATTTGCAAAAATTAAAAATAAAGGCTTTTTTGGCATTTATTAACAATGTAGAGGTACGAACGGTAAATTTGTAACGCTGTTTGTATCAGGTCTTCGTATGATAGGGAGTTTAATACATTATATTAAAATTAAAATATGGCAATCCATCTTTTTGAAGGCTATATATGGGAACTTGTAAGGAAACCAATTGAGAATTATTAACGCATATTGTGTTTAAAATTTTGCATAGCAAACCAGCCATTAGGATACTGACCCGATAATATAATAATGATATATATATGTAAATGTAAATATATTCGAGGTTAGCGTTTTTTGCAATTGTTTAGTATTTATTTATATATATTAAAGTTAAGTTATTGCCATTTTTAGGTTATCATAAATATATTAATAAGTTTAACATAGGCGTGACCAAACTTAAGTCTTCACAAGAAATACAAAATTTTTAACCTTTAAATATATAAACAATTCAAATTTTAAGTGCTTACCTACATATTTACAGTTCCTGAAATCAGAAATGGAGAATAGTATTGAGTTAGGCTAAGTTGATGCCAAACCAAAATTGAAGATTTTTTGGGATTTTTTGCACTGCGAATATTTAGCCATTTATCAACACGTATCGACACATCACTACATTATCGGCACAACTTAGAATTTGCCTCATTTAGAACGCAACTTAGCCTAACTCGCACACGTCCATAAAATATTTTTCTCTTTTTGATAGTACAAAACAGAGTCTGTTTTGTTCCCACATATGGTATTTAGGTATGTTCATGGTGAAACAAGTATCATTGTAAGGTGTATAAAATACACCTAAGTCAATGCTTTATGCTTTTCAGATATTATTCAAAAATATATTTGAGTAATCACATACGTATTATACTATGCAAAAAGGAATAAGTTTACTTGCGTCGTTATCTGCAATCAATGTAATATTATTTATTTTCACACGTGGTAAATTGTTTGAAAGGTGAACATCTTTTAATAATTTGTGGCTGTGGGACACCAACCCATGGGTGGACACCATTTACCATGGATACAACAGAATTATAATTAGTTCCGGTAGTGACTTCAGAATCGTCCATCTAACGAGCTGCCACAATATTATTCGTCTTATCGTACATAATCTGATTCATATTTCTGTAACGCTATCTGCCCTTTGTATTGTTTGCCTGCTTTCAATGTGGAACCAGCAATGCGATTTAAACGAATAGTGCCATATGCTCAGAAACCACATTCTTTCAACAAGCATAACAAATAATGCGATGTGAAACAATTGTCGAAGTAAACGATATGTTGCAATAGATGCTTACAATGGCTCAATAATTCTATTACAACAGATGCCAATTCCCAATTATTTGTCTTACTTTTCAGCGTATGACAGAAACTGGAAGATATACCAATTATCCGAAGAAAGAACAGATTGGTTTGCTACGAATAAATATTTTTGAGTAGAATGTCAACCGAAATATGGAACCATGATTTCATCGATTGATAAATGCTTCGCCCAGACAACAAATTAAATTTCCACAAGATCACCATAATCTTCTGCATTTCATTCGTATACAACATCAATAGTACATAAATACCCTCTCAGAATTAGACCAGACGCAATTCAAAAAATGAGAACAAACCATTAACTGGCCACTTTGAGCCCTTTCATCGCATGTAGTCTTTGTTGAAATTTCATAATGGTCAATCACTTTATTTTCGGACTCATTAGCAACATTATATGGTGGCAAATATACCACCATTTCAATAGGTACCGGAATATCATTTGGCACTGAAGGGTCATCTTCGATCTAATTGTCAATAACAGTTCCTGATTTGTTAGATATCTTCGACACGACTTTATAATTTTATTTACATTTAAATAAAGACGACAGAACATTTAGCATGAAAAAATGTAAGCACTGCATAAAATAATTAAATTCAGACTAACTCAACCATCAGTAAAATAAGACAGGTTTAAATTAATTAGAATAGTATGATATTTATTAGAGAGATTACGTTCACGTTATTTCATTACCTGTCGACTAAAATTAATATTGCATTATTTCATCATTATAATACTATGGGGCCCAACTTGTGGTTAATCGGCGTCTTTCTTCGTCTCGTGGCAAATATTAATTAATTAATTAATTTTATTAATATTTATTTAAATTTTTATTTGATTAAAAAAACCTTCTTTTCCCACTTCTTTAATATCTGACAAGGTAAACTCATGGACAGATGAAAATTATT